CCTCCTCTCTTTGCTCATACAGAGAGTGCACGGGTTTCAACAGGGGTCACTAGCCACTTCTACAGCACAAGAGAGAAGAATGTTTGCAGCCTGTAGACTTGTTTCTCTGTACTAAACAGTATTTTCATGGTTTATTCGCTATTGTTGTTGCTGGAATCAGCGTTAGCACATACTGGTAATGGGCTTTCTGTCTTGTTTCTTAAACTCTATTGTTTTCTCTTCCTCAGAATTGAGTTTCTCCGACACCTGAGAAGCTTCTTCCAGATCATGTTTAAAATTGAAACGAAGACCCCTGAGGAAGAGCACATGGGTGGGGAGAAAGTCTTAATGACGTGTGTTGGCATTGGATTTTCCAACCTTAGCAAAACTATAAGATAAGAAGCACCTGCAGGCTTCATGAAATGGGGTGACAGAAAATGCTGCAAAGATCTGATAAAACCTGCCTTTCCCTGTGCTTATTCTGGCATAGAGAAACCAGTGACGATTCCAGTGCAGAGGTACCCAAGCTTGCTGCATGTAAACAATAAAGCTGGCTTTACGCTGTTTAGACCTGTTTATAAAAGCAATGCCAGTATTCGGTGCTGCATGGAATGGCTGGCTGGAGTCTCAGCTGGCTTGGGGCTCTTTGCACTGTTTTCCACTGCAGGGGACACAAGTGCCTCTTACGTCCCTGTGCCCTCAAGCCTTAACGCAGTGGGTGCTCTAGTTTTGTTTATCTACATACTTCACTCTTAGATTTTTCTGAAAGGTTTAGATAGAGACAGAAAAACAAGATTGATCAAAATGAGCTTTGCAGTGCAAAAGAAATGATCACAACAGAAACATTGGATTCTTGAGGTAATTGCAGAGACAACATTGGCATGGAAATAAAAGTAAAGGTGTGACGATAATTTTTTGTTTATACATTGCATGTGTATAGAATTTGTCAAATGCTTCACTCCTGCTTATGTTGACTAGATTACAGTTTCACAGGAAGAAAAAAAAATTTTTTAATTTTCCTTAACGTTAGAATACTGCAGAAGAGAGCACAGCCTCTACTGACTTGTTTTATCCTCCTCTGCAAAGATGGCCATGGGAGGAGAAACCCCCTTGACAGTTTTTGACTTACCACATACAGTGTTTTTAGGTTTGTTTGGCATGCCACACGCTACAGTTCACAATTAGTTGTGAAAGGCAGCAAAAAAAGCTGTAGGCTTTGAGGGAGAAAAATATATTCAGTTATGCCATCACATTTTGGGCAGCTGCTCCCTTTTGAAAGAGGGTATAATGATGTATGGGCACTACTTGGATTGACAGGTACAAAAAGTTTCTACCGGGATATAAATGTTTACCCAAGAAAGGCTTTTGGTAGATTCCAGGCAAACCTGCTGAAGTTAATGCTGAACTCCTGACACAAAAGAAATTTACACTTGACTTCAAACTACATTCAGTGTGCCTGGAGTAAAATAAAACTATGTCAAAAGCTGGTAGATATATAGAGAGAGCAAATACTAGTGACTGTGTTGTAATGGTCATACAAACTGTATCTGATGCCACTGTAAAGTGGGCATTAGCTCTGTAATATGAAAAATGTATATTGGACCCAAAAGGACTTTGACAAAAAGTTAGGTATTTGATTAGTGTTTTATTAACTATTGCAGGCTGTGTGAGTCATTTTTGTACTGTACTTTGTTCTTGTTGCAATCTGTCTAAACATGTTTTTGAAAAATAAAGTATTTTTTCCTAAATAAGGTTTTATTTTCCTTTAAAACAAAACAAACAGCAACCAATAAAAAAAAACAACAACAAACACAGAAACCTTTTCCCCAGTTCTGTAAGATGGTACTTCAAAAGATAAATGGCTATTTTGAACCTATATATCAAAAGAACAGCTTTGGGAGTTGCCAGGGTGGAAGGAAGGGAGAGGGCGAGGCCCTTCTTATAATTTACTAGCTTTCCAAAATTTGATTTTCAGCTAAGGAAGCCGTAAATAAAGCAGTAGAATGGGAAATAATTTTTTGTTTTACTACATTTTTTTTAAATTTCAAGTTACATTACGAATAAGTATGAGCGCAAGGAAGAATTGACCTTCTCCCATCTGTCACCTATGCAATGAAAAAGCTAGAAACTCTCCAAATTAAAATTACCATAAATACAGGGAGCCACTGATCCGAAAGGTGAAATGTACAAGTTGAGATTACTAGCCACTAGAATAAAAATATAAAGGTTACACTAATTAAAGATAGAAGTTTGTAGCACAGCTCAGATTTCCAGCATTGGCCCAAGTAAAAATTTAGAAGTATTGTCACAATTTCAAAAATCTAATGCTTTATTTTCTTTGAACTCCTAAAGCTCTGAACTTTGAAGCTGTGACAGCTTTTCCAAATGTTGCAGTTGCACCAAGCATAGAAAGGGCAATGTGTTGCCCAGGTAGCAGATTCTTTAGGAATAGAGTAATTATGTCATAAAATTAACCGTGCTCAACTAAACCTCAATGTTAAAGTTAGACTGCTAACCCTTAGGCCAGCTGCAAATTGCATAGCTTTACAGCACAACACTTGCTATGACTCAGAACTGCTTGTTGCTCTACAGAGAAAAAGATATGTATATGAAAGGAATATGTTTTTCCAAAACAGCCAGTCTCTGGAGAAACAGGAACAATTCCAGAGGAGGTTTTAGGTAAGAGCTTTCTTAAAATGGTTTGACCTTCACATTCTGTGAAAAGTACTTATTAGGCAATCCTGCAGATACAAGCTATTTGTTTATTGCCAGAACAGCGATGAACACCTATTTTGGTGGACTGATCCCACAAGCAGTAAGAGAGTTCAATTCTAGAGCTGGACAGAGGAAATTAATTTTTGGTGGAGACAATTTATACTCTTTGTAGCCACAGACTTTATGGTAAGGATGCTAGTTACTATGAGATGCATCGTTCATCTCAGCCCATCATGGCAGATTTAATACTCGGATGACTTGAATTTGAACTGATTAACTGTACCTCAGTAATCTTTGAGCTATCCATCAGCAATTGAGTTAATCCCTTTGGGTGAACAACTCTGATTATACCATTCTGCTGTAACTGGAAACTTTCCTGCTTACAGAAAACTTTTAAGGCCAGGACCAAAGGAGGTAGAGGTGTGGGAGGGGACTAATTGACAGAAGTATTGTGTAATGTGTATTTCAATTGCAATAGTTTTAATATGTGGGGAAATAGTAAAGAACACACAGAAAAAAGTGTTTTGAGGGAGAACACCTCATTAAATGGAGAATCTCTTCCTTTAAACTTGCCTAACAGGAAAGGCAGCATGCTACAGTGGTGATGTGAGAAGTATTTGCAAAACGTGCCTTTACCTTGAACCCGATTCCACTTTTGTAATCTCTGTTGTCAAACTCTCTTCCATTTCTATGCTATGATGGTAACTTGACTGCACCTTCTGTGGTTACATAAGAAAATTCATGTTAACTTGCTGTAGGACAGGTTCTGTAGTAGCAGAGATTATGTTGAAGGTGAAATTGCTCCAGTCCAAGCCAGTGCGCTTTGCTGAAGGTGTACGGCGAGAGGCCAGTGCAGTAACTGTCTGGGGAAGCACACAGTAGGTGAGTGAGCTGGGCCACAGCAGTAAGTACATGGCTGTCTTGGGTAATGTTTTCAAAATGGTGATTACGTGACTGCCAGAGCAGAGATACTCTCTTCTCCTTCCCCACAGGTGATATTATGAGTAAAATGGATTTTGTTTCAAGCCACTGAGGCATAATTCTGCTGCTTGCAAGCTCTGACATTCGCTTTCCTGTTTTTTAATTATGCTCTGAGGCAGCAACAGGAGGAAAAAGAGACAAAGAAGAAAAGTCCCAGCTTTCAGGAGGCAAAATTTTGCCTATGAGTTTCTTTCTCATTTTTTGATATCATACGGCCATCTCCACACTTTCATTTTGTATGTCTGATGAAAGCATTTCTACTTAGTTTAGATCCTAGGCGATAACAAGTGAGACATGCAACTGTGTCAGGGCAACTCTAACTAAAAGAAAAAGGTGGAAGGGGCATCTTCTACAGCTACTGCTTAGGTCTTGGTAAGCTCTGTCTTAAAAGATCATTCTTGGTGGGATATGTACAGTTTTCCTTGTGTCTGATCTAGGAGCAGCACTGTCAAGCAACACCGATTACCTGTCGTCAGTGGGAGGGGGAAAAAGACAGAAAGTCCTACAGGGAAGAGAGTGTGTGGGTTGAACTCTGCAGCGACAGCATTGTATGTGTAATGAAAGTAAGTCACGCACTGCGTCAGAGCATCACAATGTCCAAATAGCACTTCTGCTAGATTAAGTTGTGACATTGTTATAAGGCAGATTCATTGGGATGATTTGTAGTGCATCTGTAGCAATAGAGGTTTGGTGTGAGTGCTAGCCTCTCTCCTGGAACAGTAGGATTAATATATATACGCACCGAGAAGAGTGCCCAGACCTGTATTCCCTGCGTACTACAGAGTACAGAAACAACTGTGTTTGTGGAGGTAGCAATAAAGAGACTCGCGGAGAAAATGTTTTCTTACAAACTGGTGTTGGTCAAGGTCATAACCCCAAGAAAACAATGGCCAAAAGCAGCACTTTACATGAGGGTGAATGGTGGCTGGGAGCCCGCAGAAGTGGCGTGGCCAGGAGCCTGCTGGCAGCTGTGCAGCTGTTGAGGGGTGGCCCGTCGTGCAGACCATGGGTAGACTGGTGTCCTCCTGCATGCTGTATGTCTGCCGGACTGTCCACACTCAGCCCGCTCTTCGCTGTGTCGGTTTGGGCACACTTTCCTGGCAGCCTCCGCTGTGCTGTTCACACAACAAACATCCATACCCCTTTTACATGGTGAAAACCTGCAGGGTCCTTGTGGAGGCTGATCCATGTGAGGTGCCCAGTGTTTAACTAGGGATGAGCTGGTAGGATTAAGGGCTTGATTCCAGTGATCATCACTGTGTGTCAGTGACACATCCCATTATACAAAATGTGGCAGGCTCCGTAGGCTACCCGTGTTTGCAGGCTGCATCAAAAGTCACACCACTTGGGAACAAATGTCTTGCTCGTTCTTACCTTGCTTCTGCTCTGCAACCACTCTGCTCCTTGAAAGTTATTTACACTTTTTCCAATCTTATACTGTCTGCATGGATAAGAAAAAAGTTGCTTTAGCCAGTGATGAATGTAGATACACTCTGTAAGGTAAGACAGTGGTTCTGAATGGTCATCCCTCAGCATCATCAGGGCAGACAATTCTCTTCCACGTGTATGGAAACGTAGTTTTAATTAGGTATAAAATACTATGCATCTGCAACCTGGGTCTAGATCAAAATATGCATGAGTTTTGATTATTGTCTTTTTTTTTTTAACATCACCGAAGTAAAAAAAACAAGGGGGCGAAACCCAAAGTGCCTTATGGCTTGTTCGTTTGTCAGCATTCAGAAAGTGCCTGATTCAGTAAGGCTTCCTGAGAAATTCGTGTATTTAGAAATAC